CCCCTCCCCGCTTAGACTTCTAGTACTGCTCCGGCCGCTTCACTCTAGCTGATGACCTCACCTCTCCTCTCGCTGAGATGATGCTATCAGGAGTAAAAGGACTGCCTCATCTTGCCGCGTCCTAATCTGCCCATCAACCTTTGTCGCTTTCTCTATAACTCTGCCATCTCTGCTGAGACAGTGACGAAGCTGCCCAGCTCCTGAGTCAGGCCAGTCGCTGTGGTTGGGCATTGGGTCCCACCCTGACCCATTATTCGCAGACTCTGCTGCTCCTTCATGTATCCCGTCTAGTTCTTGCATCATCAACTTCTCCCTTTGTACTGACGCATGTCCATCAGCATGTAAACATGTGGGAAACACCTATGGTATTTATTTATTTATTTATTTATTTATTTATTTATTTATTAGCCGAGCCATCCTGCCCCCTGTTAGGAGCTCAGCAGCAGCTCAGCTCGGGCCGGGAATCAAACCGGTGACCCTGTTGCTCAGAGCTCGCACTCGAGCGAGCTCTTAACCAACTGAGCCACTCGGCCGGCCCAATGGTATTTAAACAAAACTAAACAAGGCTACATTTTCTATCTCCAGCCTGAGTAATTTTTTTGCTCTCCTTTAAAGTAAAACCTGTAAAAAAAATTGTTTATATTTTCTGTCTCCAATCTACTCATCCCAGTCACTCTAAATCGCTCTCTTATTCAACCTATCCATTTAGGTTCTCCCTCCTCTACCCCCACCTCCCTTCATTGACACTGCTCTTTTCAAGGTTACTAATGACTTTCTGCCAAAACCCATGGTCAGTTTTTGATCTTTATCTCACTTGGCCTCTCAAGAGCGTTGGGCACAGCGAATCACTTCCCCTTTCTCGGAACCCTTTCTTCTCTTGGCTTCCGAGCCACCCCACTCCTATTTTCCTCCTGCCTCACTGGCTGCCCCTTCTCAATATCCTTTACTGGCCTTTCTGCCTCTTCCTGACTCTGCATGTGCTGGATTCTGCAGTACTCAGCTCTCTTCACTCTCATATCCTCCGTGAACTCACCTAGCCCCATGGGATTAAATATCACCAGTATTTTTTTCAACTTGCAATTTTTTCTCTCTCTCCTCACCGCTCCTCTGAGCTCCTGAATTGTATACCCAGATATCTATTTGACATTCACCTAAAGAGGCGAGTGTCTAAATGGCAAAAGCAGATCTCTTGATTCCATTTCCCAACATCCAGTTTCTCAGGCCCCAAACCCTAGGAGTTCTCCTTAAATCTTTGCTTTCCCTTAATCCCAGATTCAATGCAACAGCAACACAAAACGCCATTTTTCATTACCTCATTTGTTACCATTCTAACCAGGATGCTATAATCCCTTGTGACATAATATAGCAGTCACCTGAAGATTTCCCCATTCCACTCTTGCCACTTATATTCAGTTCTCCACACAACAGGCAGAATGATCTTTTAAAACCATGAATCGGTTCATGGTGCTTTTTTTTTTTTTTTGCTAAAAACTTACTAACGATTCCCCTGGGTACTCAGAATAAAATTCCAGACTCCTTCCAATGGCCTCCAAAGGCTTATATGATCAGCCCCCTGGTCATCCCTTCAAACCTGTCTTTTACCATTTGGTGCCTGGAATGATGCTTCCTCGTGTGTTTGCATCGCTTGCTCCCTCACTTCATTTAGGTTTTTGCTCAAATGTTTTCTCTTCAGAGAGACCTTCCTTGCCCCTTCTGTTTGAAACAACACTTATTCCCTTTAACTTGGTTTTTGCTCTTTACAGAATTTATTCTACAACTTTTCCTATATATCTGTGTTTTAAAATTCAGTATAATGCATAATATTAGCAGAATAAATAAGAAAAACCCTATGAACATTTCAATAGATGCAAAAGCATATTTGACAAAAGTCAACGAGTAGTCATGATGAAATCTCTGTGCAGACTGGGAACAGAAGAAAACCTCTTCAGTCTTGTAAAAGACCTTATTTAAAAAATTCAAATAACATCACAACTAATAGTGAAATATTGAACGTTTTTTCCTATAAGATTAAAAAGAAGGCAAGAATGTCCACTGTCACCACTCTATTTAATATCATATTGGACAACTTAGCTTTTGCAATAAGACAAGATAAAGAAATAAAAGGCATAAGGATCAGAGAGGAAGAAGTAAAGCTGTCTCTACCTGCAGGTGTCATGGTTATTTACATAGGAAGTCTAAGGAATCCACAAAATAATGACTAGGAATAGTAAGTAAATTTAATGAGATTGCATGGCGTATGGTTAATATAAAAAAAATCAACTGTGTTGTATCTGTTGGCAGGAATTAGTTGAAAAATGAAATTTTAAAATTCTATTTACAATAGTTTTAAAAAACATAAAGTACTTAGAACTAAACACAACAAAAGTCAAGATCTGTACACTAAAAATTACAGAGCATTGCTGAGGGAAATACAGTAACTAAATAAATAGAAACATATACCATGTTCAAGGATTGGAAGACTAAAATATATATATACAGTAGCTCTCCCTTATCCACGGGGGATATGCTCCAAGACTCCCAGTGGATGCCTGAAACCGTGGATAGTACCGAACCTAATACATACTATGCTTTTCCCTATGCATATATACACTTTACAGCTTCTCTTTGGCATATTCAAATTGCCAGCATCACTATTCTTGTGCTTTGGGGCCATTATGAAGTAAAATAAGGGTTACTTGAACACAAGTACTGCAATATCCCGACAGTAGACCTGTAAACCTAGATAACACTAAGTAACTAATGGATGGGTAGCAGATAAAGTGTGGAGATGTTGGACAAAGGGACGATTCATTATCCTGGGCAGGACAGAGCAGGATGGCGTGAGATTTCACCATGCTACTCAGAACAGCATGCAATTTAAAACTTATGAATTGTTTATTTCTGGTATTTTCCATTTAATATTTCCAGGCCATGGTTGACTGTGGGCAACTGAAACCACAGAAAGTGAAACTATGGATAAGGGGGGGGGCAGTGTATTTTTATTTATATGGGTATTGTCTGTGTCTCCCACAAGAATGGAAGCTCTTTGAGAACAGTCATTTTTTTCCCTGTTTCATTCCCTGATGTATCTTCAGTGTCTATTAACAACGTCTGGCACACAGTAGTTGCTCATTAAATATTTACTGAACAAATGACTATACTAGGATCCAAAACAGTTTGGATTTTGCTCAGAGCCTCACAAAATTTCTCATGAAAACAAGCCTATCTGTCCTATTCCTCTAGCCATAGGGACCAACACTGGCGCCAGTGGCCAGTCAGATGGAGAAAATCCTCTTCATAGTCTTCATCAATTTTCTGTCTCTGACCCTCAGACAGAACTCTCGTCTCCTCCTAGGCTCTGAACAGAAACTCCCAGAGTAAATGGAATGCAGACACTCTTTGCAGCCCAGACTGCTAATTAGATCAGGCACTCAACTGTCAAGGGTAGAGAGCAATAGACTCAGGTCTAGCTGCAGGGTTGGATAGGGCTGGATAGTTACCCTAAAATGACAAGGAGCCAGAAATCTGGCCACAAAGAGAGAGGTTAAATTTTATAATGGTTCCCAATGGGAGGGTACAGACTAGAGCTGAAAGACAGAACCAAAGAAAAAGTCAGAAGCTGGATAGACTTTGGAATGGAGTAGGGAGGGGGATCACAGGATAATTGTAAAGATCAGGCTTGTCCCTCTCTCGAGGAGCAGAGGATGGCTCCTCTATAAAGCACTGGGAGCCCCAAAGGATTTGAAGTCAGATATGTGTTCAAAACCCAGCTGTATGCATGGGGAAAGGTCTTGCTTTCCCTGAGGCTCACCTTCTTTCTTTATAAAATAGGTATTTTAATGCCTGCCCTGCCTATCTTGTAGGATCATTGTGATGATCAAATAGATAAGTGCCATGGAGAGATGATTATTATTTATAAGCCAAGACTCATCATTATAAAAGCTCTGAAGAGTGCTTAAGTTGAAATCTTCATGGTTCATTATTTAATTTTAAATGAATTATCGTAATCTAAAATCCTTCCATATTCAAATATAAATATAAAAATTCATCTTGCTGCCACATATATGATTGCAGGGAAGACAATTCATGCATTTGGTCACCTGCAAAAGTGTCCAGAACTGTGACTATGCCACCTTCTTCTGTAGTTGAAAAACATCCCTTCCACACTTGGTCTTGTTTCCAGCTACATAATCTCTTTCAGAGGCTCTTTTATAAATTATCCGACAAAAAAAGGCATGCAATCAATACAAGATTCCAACAATGAAGCATCCAACCCCTGGAATAAAGACAGAATTAACTAAAAATAATTACATAAATCTCCCATTTAAAATCTTCAACCTCGGGTTTACATTTAGCCACAATCCTAAGTAGTTGGACTATGTTCAGCTTGTTTTTGTAATGAAATCTCCTTGGTAAATTCAATTATTAAAAAAAGAGAGAGGTCCTCCTGGCTTATATGATAATAAGCACAAAATAACTCGAAAGCATTATTAAAATTAACTGTACACTGTGCTGAAATGGAATACTCAATAGTATTGAGAGCTTTGTTATTTATTATATAGAAGAGCTGTAAGCCAGTCAAATCAATGACAAGAAATGTCACATCACTCCAGAGCTTCACAGATGGGCATGCACATGTCACGACATCCCTTATCTTTTGCCTTGAACAGTTTGCTTCTCATCGTTGTTTTTTGATTGTTTGTTTCTTAGCAAATTTACCTGACCTTAGGTTGATCTGTGCCCTTGTCTGTAGTTGTAAATGATAATCCACCAATATGGTTTCTCAGGAACCGGTAAGTTCAAAACTATTGTTTCTGTGGAGCTGATAGGTGGAAAAGTCAGACTTAGACACATGAGTGAAATGAAGAACATGTTTCTGACTTGTCTAGATTCTACCTGATACTGAAACATGAGCTGTATGGCCAATGCCTCAATGCCAGGAAGTGGCCAAACTGGAATTTTAGCTCAAGTCTGACTCTACACATTGTTCTTTTCTACAGGCACAGCTCTGTCTCTGGTGGGAAGGACCACAAAATGCTTATAAAGGATTTGGATGGAAACTGGTGACAACTGGAAATGTTACCAAAAAAAAGCGCCATTTCATACAATGGTTTGAAATATTCTGTCCCCATTTGATATAGAGATTTCTGATGGTCTTCATGACCTATCACATCAGTGACAAAAATAACCATTGGCCCAATTGCTTCAAGCTTGAAATAGAGAAAGGCAATCACTCAGTCAAATATTTTTCAAGTGTCTTCTGTTTGCTTAATACTATACTAGACTCTGTTGGAAACGATAGCTCACACATCAGGGTTCTTTGGCAAGTAAGAAGTGAAGGTGAAATAGTATTATTAGAGGAAAAACTACATGAGATGGTTTAGCTTCAAAGAACTTAACATCTCAATGTGGAGGAGGGAGTTTCAAATGACAAAAGACCCTCATTATCATAAACAGCACATAAATATATTTCACTGATGATTAGACCAGGGGCAGGCAAACTTATTCTGTGAAGAACCAGGTGGTAAATATTCTAGGTTCTGTGGGCCATACTGTGTGTGTTGTAGCTACTCAGTTCAGGCACTGTAGTGTGAAAGCAGCCCTAGAGGATAAAGTAAAGGAATGAGCATGGCTGTGTTTCAATAAAACTTTATTTACTAACACAGGTGGCCCACTGTTTTTGATCCACAGTTGTGCTCATTTAGTTTGAATGTGAGAGAAGGCTGCAGAAGAAATCACTGTTCAACAGTCAGAGAAGCCTTAGTTATAATCTGTTTTTCAGGGCCAACCCTTCTTCCAGACATTCTATGTATTGAACTCTGAGGCCCCCAGTGTAAGTTGCCCAAGGTTACCCAATTTAGTAACAGGCTGGCCTAGACTTAAACCCAGGGCTACCTGACCTCCATTCTCTACTCTCTCACCACAGGAAACTACTACTGTTGGCAGACCTGCCTATTTCTCCAGCCGCTTTGCATCTTAGAGAACACGGGACTTGAAGCTGTTAATAAGAGGGCCTCCTGTTACACAATCCAGGGGTCAAAACTCACACACACACAATACAACGGACACTTGGAGCAAGACCATCAGTTAAGGAGGAAAAGTGTTCCCCTGGGCATGACATCAGTATGACAGTGGCAAATAAAAAAGAAGAAGGCGAATGTAAGAATACCTTTGACAACTTTTTGCCCACTGGGAAGGCTCCCTTCCAGAACTTTTCCTTATTCACAGCTTTCCGTCTGCATTTTGGATTACGTAAGTAGCGAGGCTGTTTCATTGGAAGCAGCACCTCTCCGGAGGTGCTCAGGAGAGATGGAGAGGAGAGTACCTTCCGGGCTCAAATGCCACCATTTCAACGAAGAGTTCTTTTTTCTTCCCACTTTCTCCAGCCGTCTAAGACAGAATGGATGGTTCTCCCCTTTGAGAACCCAGAGCACTTTACATGCGGTCCTCCTCACGGCTATTTCGAATCACTATTATGATTCGTTGACTTCTCTGCCTTCCCCATTGCTCTGTCATCTTATTAGGAGTATACATAATGCCTATATGAACCTGTATTATCACTAGTCTAGCCTCAGCCTATGGTAGGGTCAGGCACAGAACAGGTGGGCAATTAAAGTCTGTTGTGTTCCAGAGGCTATACTTTGAATGTCTAATAATAATTGCTTCCGGTTATTGAGCGCCATCTACATGCCAGGCATTATGATATACTCTTTAAAGACTTTAGTTCCTTCATCCTCACAACAAGTTTGCAATATTTTGTATCATTATTCCTATGAGGGCGTTTGGTGTTTTGGTGCCCAATTTCCATTTATGGGATAGCTCAGTATGCAAGGTCACGGTGGAGATAGCATTCCACATACACACACACACACACACACACACACACACACACACACACACACACACACACACCAGTGATGAAGACTGAAGAGGCCTCTTTCATCCTGACAGAGCCACAGCAGCATGTGAGTGACGTAGCAGTCCTAGCCCAGGACTTTGAATCTGGAGCCAGTGACCCAACAACATGAATCAGTTGTAGGGCCTGTTCACGCCAGCAGCACCAATGACATTTATCCAGACCACTGCCGCTGTGTGATCTCTCCGTGGTTCTCTCTGCCTAGCAGTCTGGAACCTTCCCAAACCTTTACCAGTTTTCCAAACTGATTTTTCAGTCTCTCCTTGACCCTAAGTGTCCCAAGCACTTCCAATAGACTGCTCTTTTGGTTAAGATGGCCGAGTCTGTTAGTGTCGATTGCAACCATGAGCCCATTTTGAACATGAGAGGGTAGGTGGTTTTTCCATGGTGTCACTGCTAATAAGGAAGAAACCAGATTTGAATGCTCTTCTCTCTGCTTCTAAAGCCCATGTTCTCTTCATCCACGACTCTGTTTTGCACACAGAAGGTGCTCAACATATGCTTGCTGTCTATGATGCTGCTGTTGCTAGTTCAGCATTAATGCTTTTCTTTCTTTTAACTCAAGAACTATGTAATTATTTATTGCTCTGGTGTTTTCATGTGTCTAAATACCTTAACCTAGTGCCTGACACTTGGAAAGTATTTACATAGAAGGAGGTGATTCTGTTGTTTACTTATTTCTAACCTTTGCTAAGTGCTTCCTATGTGACCAGCATTGCATTAGATGCTTTGCCTGCGCTACCTGATTTAAGCATCCAAATAGCCCGATGAGATACGGTTTATTTCCATTACCCTCATGTTAAAAATGAATAACTAGGGGCTCAGAAAGATTACGTTTCCTCTCCAAAGGTCATGCACTGCTGTATGCCGGATCCAGGAGTCACTGAGGACTGACTCCCAGATGGATGCTTTAACCTTTAAGCTTCCTTGAGCTACTAAATTTAATCCAAAGTGCATTCCAGAAAGAGTCTGTTTATGCTATTTCCAGATTAAAAGGAAACTTAGAGGTTATTAGTGCTGATATTTAGCTCATGCCCATTTGTAACTTATCCACGCAACAAGATCTGGCCTGATAACTTCATTGCAAAGGTTGGGAGAAATTTCTTTTAGGACAAGTAAAGTCTTGAGTAAATGGTTCTTTCTCCTCTCGAGTGAATCAATGACAGTAGAAAAGCACTAAGCACTCATATTTTACATGTCGTTTTATCTATGGATTAGTTTCTTGATGGTGTTTTTAATTATTTAAACATATCGAGAATAAAGTACAAAACGACAGGTTTTTCCTTTCTCTCGCCGGTTTGTCCATTATGAGCTGTCCATTAAAGTCGCTAGGGATTGGTTACCTAGGAAATGGCTGGCAGATGGGGGGCGGGGGGGGGCTTTTAGATTGATCACCAGATTTATGGCAGGAAGGTGAGCCATGTGATGTGAATTTAGTTGCTTCTTAAGTGGAAGAGTAGAAATTGCTGAGCATTAAAAACAGATCACAGGAACCTTCCCCCACTTCTCCTTAATTTTAAAGATGAACTCCATGGTCTTCTTTCAGGACGTCACGGAGATCTAAATTTATCACCAGGAGGAAGGGAGTCTAATGATTCCATGACGGTCTCAGGCTCCATGATTATAAAAGAGACATCGGATTCAAGGTATGTGTGGCCATGATATAAGCAGCCTCAGCTATCTTTGAAGTCCATGAAAAATAATGTGTTTCCTACTTTCTTCACAACGATGAGGATTAATATACATGCAGCTTGCTGAGTTCCTTGAGAAGCACCATTACTTTATCCACACAGCATGTCGTTGTTCGAGAATCCCTAGAGTGGAATAGAGTGAGTGTATTCAGTAAAACCGGCTCAGTAGCTAAAACACGGTTATCCACAGGATAAAAAAGAGGAATGGAAATTCATCAGAATGAAAAGGACTGATCAAATTTGGAGTTTCTTAAAAAATGCCAAGCACTTAAAAAATAATGTGCAGGTAAAGAAAACCAACAGTTGCCAACTAGCAACTCTGAGGTAGGTACTTTCACTGTATGTCTCATTTAATCCCCCAAAAGAAAAAAGTATAAAAAAGTTGTATAAAACTTTCAGAATTTTGTTTCACAAATATTTATTGGGCACTTAATACGTGTCTGCACCAAGGTTCAGAGATCAGTAATTCATCCAGGATTTAGAATCCATTTTTGTTCTGCTCTAAAGGCCATGCTTTTCCTGCATCAGTGTATTCTTTTTCTCGATGGTATTTTTATATCAAAAAAGAAGAGTGGAAAATTAACCAATCTGGAAATTTTATTGTGAGAAGTTATTTAATTTGCAAAACTCAGGTGTGCATGCATGTGCACACACAACTTCTCTTTTGTCTAAGACTTTCCCTGGAAGGTTAAAATCACCTTGGAAATTGCCTCTATCTTGTATTTGCCTGCAATGATACAGGAATGGTTTATTAATAAAGACAGCAGGTTTTTATTAACCATTTATGTGTGCGTAATGCATACTCTCCTTTAATCCCAACATGATCCAATGAGGGAGGAACCATAGTCACCCCCATGTTACAGGTGACAGCATTAAGCATTAGAATAGCGATGTGCCCAAAGTCACACAGCGGTAAGTGGCTGATGCATTTTATCAATTTTTCGAACCCATGTCTAACTCCAGAGCCCAACTTCATAATTGCGCCAATATTTTCCTCTCCTTTGAGCTAGAACGGATTTTTCTAGCCAGCAAGGGACGGTGAACAACAAAGGTTTTAAAAAAATAAACTCGTGGGAGGGAAAATGAAAATCCTCCTCATTAGCGTATTTCTCTTGCAAATGAAGAAATTAACATTTTTTGGTGTTATCACAGGAACACCTTGATTCAGGGTCTAAAATGTAAATGCTGCACTGCAAAGAAGTCTGAAATCCTCTGCATTTGATGGACCCAGATTTAGTGTCGAATTCTCAGGGGTGCTCTTCTCCCCAGGTGGCAGAGTTCTTTGAGTTCTCTACCATGGCATCAGGGCAGGTACCACTTGTGAGGGGGTGGGAGGAGCAACACTCCATGTCATAATAACCACCACTGTATATAATACAACTCAATTATATAATAATGATATACACATACTGTTATAATGTCAAGGCTTAAGATAACCACCACTTCACCCTCACCGCCTAAAAAACAAACAACAAGAAAGAAAACTGGCTCTGACATCCCACCATCAAAGCTTTATTCCTGTCCCTTCAGGCTTTGATGCTGTCTAAAATGCATCCACGGCTGCCGAGTTGTCAGTCACATATACCTCAGAGAAACTGAAGGATTTCAGACTCGACTTTAATTGGAGAGAAGATCACAGAAGCAGAATCTTAGAGCTGGAAGGGCCTTGGGGAGCATGGAGTCTCACCTCCCCTCCCATCACCTGATGGATGGGGAAACTGGGACAGAGAGTTAGCGAACGAATCTTTCTTCTTTGACCTTTGCCCCACTCGCCACCATGGGTGAGCATGTGTGTGTATGTGTGTGCTTACCTGTTATGTGTGTGTTTACCTGTTATATGTACGGGGGGGGTGTTTCAGTCACTAATCCTGCCTAACAAACCACCCCACACTGTGTGGTGTAAAATGGCGACCATTTTGTTCAGCTCACAGATTATGTGTGTTGGGGATTCAGGCAGGGGGCAAAAGATGTATTATGGCGACTCAGACACCTGAGAGCTGGGGCCGTCTGGAAGTATCGTCCAGTACTTGGGCTGGGATGACTCATCCGGAGCACCTATATGGCCTCTCCAGGTAGCATGGCCTTTTCACAACATGGCATCTGATTTCCCAGAGGGATGGGGGATTAGAGACCCACGTGGCGGGTCTTTCTTTGGACCCCATGTGGCAGCCCTCAAAGAGTTGGTGGAACCCATGGGCTCCATGAGGCTTGAAAACCCAGTTAGTAACACCTTCTCTAGCTGCCAAACAAGACATCATAATTTGCCCTGCAAGGTCTTTGTTCACATGCTTGAACCTACCCTGGGGGCATTTCTCTGTCTCCATCCATCCAAATCTTGTTGACCCTTCAAACCCATCTTCCCGGAAGCCTTGCCCTGGATTCATTACTTTTCTGTCTCTCCACTGTTTACCTGGGAAATCTCTAGTAATTCCATGATTCTACTAACCTCCATGTAATAATGATGCCTCTACTAACTTTCTATAGTCACTATTTCAAATATCTCCTCTGAGTTCCTGATCTGTATATCTAAAATTCTACTGGACATCGCCATGTGAATGTTTAGTAGGAATGAAAACTGAGCATGTCCAAAATAGAACTCTTGACTCCCGGTTCTCCCACTGCTCCCAAACAAGCAGACCTTCTCTTTTCCTAGTCTTCTTTGTATCGCTGACCATCCTTGACCAGCTTGAGATGATTTACAAGAACCAAGTCCCAAGGAAGTGGCTAAACTCTATTCTGATTCTGAGCATTCTTCAATATCAATGGCTATCATGGAGACAGCATGCAATATCTCAGCTTGAGGTGGGCTGTGGAGGCGATGAGACTGTCAGCGATTAGAGCAGGACTGGACGGCTTCCTCCTTGTCCAGCTGGCTGGATTCCTAGTGAGAAAGGGAGACTGCAGCAGCCAGAAGTCTCAGGCCCAGTGTTCCCTGATACATTTCAGTGGAAGTTAGGTACCAGTGAGAATTTCTGAGATCCTGAAAGTCTGGGCTCCCCTCAACTCTAGGAGACATTAGTATCATTGTCATGACTAGGTTTGTTCTCAGACTGAATGGGGACTTCCCAACTAGATTTAACTCTCTTGATGTTGGAGATCATGCCTTGTGTATTGCTTCTCCACAAATATCTGAAATTGACTTGATCAAGTAGATGCCATAAACAATTGATGAAGCAAGCTGATGAGGCATTAATATGATATTATATTTGGGTATAAATATCTTCTTAGAGGAAATGATATCTAAAAGGACTGAGCAATCCGTATATCCCGATCTCAAATGTCTATGCCCTGGTGCATTGCTTGTACATTGCCCATACAACATATCACAGGGAAGAGGAAAGACACTAAAATTTGTGAGGCCCCCTGGCTCTGTGGTATTTATATACACCATTTCATTTTATTCTCACAAGCGTCCGTTGAGGAAACCAAGGCTAAGAGAGGTCCAATAACCTGCATAAGTTTGCCTACCTAGCAAGCAAGTCAAAGTGCAAGGATATGAATTTAGATTTAATGGATTCCAAGGTATAGGTGAGAAATCTAAGGCTCAGAGAGAGTCAGCAATGTGTTCCAGTTCACAGCCAAGATTTATGTCCAGGTGTGTCTGCTTCCTACATGTGTGCTCTGTGTCTGTATTTCTCTGTATCATGCCTCCCAGCAATGTCAACTCTAGTCAGATGAACAGTAAGATAAGTATCGGATCCACTGCTCCTGACCTAAGGCAGGAATCTGAGAACAAATCTTTGGTGAAGAAGTTGCTAAACAAACTTGACATCTCCTCGGGATATTGAAAACGGAGTAGAGTTGAAAGTCCTGGTAAGCACCTCTTATAATTTGTCTACCATTTATACCTCCTCTTAGTTACCTTCTTGCTGGAAATTGTGTTCTTCTGAGGTACTGAAAGAAATAATTTCACAGTGGAAATAGCAATTCATTTCCATAATAGAAAATTGACTATGTTATGGATCAATATGTCCCATCTGCCAAGTCTTCCTAATTATAAATTTGAAAGGTACACCCAGTATCATGTCAAACAATTATTGATGGAAAGCTGTTGTTATAAGTCTTGATGTGGGTCCCTCTAATGACAGACTGACATAGAATGAGATGCCAAATTAAATATGTTTCATTTACTAAGTAAAATGTTTTTGTCCAATTCTGTCTCCTAAGAATTAATTAACAAAATAATCTTGTGGACTGTTTAGTCCTCAAGAGACATTGGACCTCAACCAGTGCCAGCCCCAAACCATGCTTACAAAATTGATATTTTGCATCCCAGATTAAATACTATTTTAATTTAAAAATTGATTGGTTTATGTAGCTCTTTATTTTTGTGATCTCTTCAGAGAGTCTTATAATCCCCAAACCACTTCACTTTGTGAGCAATAATTTTCTTGCTTAAATGTCAACATCTCCAATAAACACATTCAAATATTATCCAAACAGATTGTTACATGAGATTTTTTTTTTAAGCATTTCACACATTTTATGTGCAGTGAAGGATCTCAGAGATGGTTCCTTATCTCGGTTTCCTCTCTAATTTGGCAGGGATTAAAGCTCTAGGCTGTCACAGGCCAAGACTGTGTCAAACGGCATAAACTTCTGATGAACACACACGACCAAGACTAATAAACTCCAGTTACGCCACAGGCCTCTCCTGAAATGGGCATTTCTAATTCCATACACCACAAATACTGTCCCCGAATCAAGGATGAATTCTGAACGAATGATTTTTTTTTCTTTTTGCATTTCAGGTAACAGAGAAATTGCACTGAAAAGGAGAGAGAAAGAAGGCTGCTTTCACACAGTGATATGTCCAGTATAAATGTTAGGGGTAAGGGTGGGGAACCTAGTTACTTCTCAGCACCTCATGGGCTAGGTACCCAAATCTGCAACATCAAAATATTGCCTTTTTCATTCAAACTGTTCAGTATTCTTGTAGAAT